ACTCCTCTCCTTCCTCCCTCGCCTCTCCATTCTATGCTGTCTTCCTCCCCTGGGCTGCGGGTGTGGACGCCTGACCTCCACCCAGGACTCCAGCTCACTTCACTCTCTACACCCCAAACGTGAGTGAGTGCTCTACAAGGCAAAGCCAACTGAGCCCAGTCCTATCACTCCCTGCAGTGTCTCCCTCTTACTCTCAGGATAAAACACCAAAATGCTCACCAAGGCCCTACAAGGTCTGCAGGGGCCTGCAGGCGAAGGCTCCTGCCAGCCTCCCTCTCTATCTCTGCCTCTGTGCATTTTGCGCCCTGCCTGTCTCAGTCACCTTGCCAGCACTAGCAGCTGTTTCGTTTAAACTTCCTCTGCAATAACTGTAAAGTCATTATTGCAAAGTTGACTTAATGTGCATTTCTTCGATGACTTAAAGAAAAAGTATTAGACTGGCCCAGCCGGTGTAACTCAGTGGTTGATGTCAACCCACAAACCAGGAGGTCACGGTTCAATTCCCCGTCAGGGCACATGCCTGGGTTGCAGGCTCAATCCCTAGTGGGGGGTGTGCAGGAGGCAGCCAATCAATGATTCTCATCATTGATGTTTCTGTCTCTCTCTCCCTCTCCCTTTCTCTCTGAAATCAATAAAAATAAATTTTTTTTTAAGTGCCCCTCCTCAAAAAAAAAAAAAAGAAAAAGAAAGAAAGAAAGAAAAAAGAAATGAAAAAGTAAACTAGATTGAGTTCTGGGAAATGAAAGAATCATACCCATTTGGTTTACTGCCCTAGTCTCCAAAGCTTAGCTTAGTGCCTAGTACTCAGTAGGTGCCCAATATTTTATTTTTTTTGATAAACTAATGATTTAAAAAGTATTCTAAAAGCAATGAATACATGTTTACTTAAAACAAGGAAATACAGCCCTAGCTGGTTTGGCTCAGAGGATAGAGCATCAGCCTGTGGACTGAAGGGTTCCAGGTTCGATTCTGGTCAAGGGCACATGCCCGGGTTGCAGGCTCAATCCCCAGTAGGGGGTGTGCAGGAGGCAGCCGATCAATGATTCTCATCATTGATGTTTCTCTCTCTCTCTCTCCCTCTCTGAAATCAATAAAAATATATTAAAAAAACAAATAAACAAGGAAAAACAGACACCATATACACTACCACTAGCAGGAGCTCAATCCCGGTCAGGAATAACACTAGCATGTCTATTAGTAACGTTGTTCTAAGATACTAGCTAAAACAACTAAACAAAGGAATGAAGAAAAGAGATTAAAAGTTGGAAAGGAGAAGGTAAAATCAGCAGTACTTGTCAATGATACGAGGATATAATATGCAGAAATAAATACCTTGCCTGTATTCAGGGTGCCACTGTTTAGAAAACAGGAAGATCCCAAGTATAACTGCATCAAGAAGATTAACTAATGGACACGTGCAAGATCTTATGACTGACTACACTTCACTCATATAAACCAGGATACATTTAAAATGGGTCGGTAATTGCTCTAGCTGGTGTGGCTCAGTGGATAGAGCGGTGGCCTGTGGACTGAAAGATCCCAGGTTCAATTCCAGTCAAGGGCACATGCCCGGGTTGCAGGCGTGATCCCCAGTAGGGGTGTGCAGGAGGCAGCCGATCAATGAGTCTGTCTCACCATTGATGTTTCTATCTCTCTCCCCTTCCTCTCTGAAATCAATATACCTATATATCTATATCTATATCTATATCTATATCTATATCTATCTATATATGTTTAAAAGATCTTTAAAAAATAAAGTGGGTCAACAATTGACTGATTTTTTTAAACCTCATCCGAGAACACGCTTAGAGAGAAGAGGGGGAGAGAGAGAAACATTGATGTGAAAGAGAAACAGGCTCTGACCAGCGATCGGACCCACAACCTTTTGGTGCACAGGACAATGCTTAACCAACTGAGTCACTCTGGCCGGGCTGAAATGGGTCAATGATTTAGATGGAAAAAATGAAACATTAAAAGTAGAAGAAAACATGGGATAAATCCCTTGATAAGCTTGAAATGGGGAAAACTATGACACAAATCCAACCGCCATGGAAGAAAAGATAACTAAATCCGACTTCATGAAAATAAAACATGTCTGCTTGGAAAGAAACAAAAACCATCAAAAGTCAAGTGAAGACAAATAATAAACTGGGGAAGATACAAGAAAAGGAAAAAGGAAAGGTACAGAATTCACAGTAAAGAAATATAAACGATTTATATTTGAAAAGATGCCCCATCTCAGTCATAATGAAAGATGAAAATTAAAATCACATTGGATACACCATTTAAAAAATAAACATTTAAATGTTATTTTTGTGTATTTCTAAATCATTTCTATTGTGGTAATATATACAGAAAAATGTATAATTTTAATCATTTTTATGTGTTCAATTAAACGGCACAAAGTATACTGATAACAATGGATAATCTTCACCACTATTTCCAGAACCTCTTCATCATCCCAAACAGAAACTCCGTGCTCATTGAACAATAACTCTCTGCACAACCTCTATTCTACTTTCTATTATTAATTTGCCTATTCTAGGTACCTCTTTTAAGTGGAATCACATACGTCTCTTTGTGTTTGACTTATTCCACTTAGCATGTTTTCAAGGTTCATCCAAGTTGTAGAATGTATCAGAATTTCATTCCTTTCTATGGCTGAATATGTATGTATGTATGGTATATACCACATTAAATTTTTAAAAAATCCCCACTGAGTCCTGACCAGTTGCTCAGTGGTTAGAGTGTTGGCCAGCAGACTGAAGGGTCGTGGGTTTGATTCCCAGTCAAGGGCATGTACCTTGTTTGCAGGCTTGGTCCCCGGCCCAGTCGGGGTGAGTGTGGGAGGCAACCAGTAGATATGTCTCTCACGATGCTTTTCTCTCTCTTTCTCTCTCTCCCCCTTCTCCCTCCCTCCCTTCCACACTCTCTCTAAAGATCAATGGAAAGAGATCCTTAGGTAAGGCTTAAAAAAAACCCTCACCCGAGGATATGTATCTTTACAAATTGATTTTAGAAAGAGGAGGGGGGAGGGAGAGAGAGAAACATGGATGTGAGAAACACTGGTCCGTTTCTTTTAGTATGTGGCCTGACTGGGGATCGAACCCCAAACCTGGGTATGTGCCCTGACCAGGAATTAAACCTGCCACCTTCTGGTTGTACGGGACAATGCTTCAACCAATCAAGCCACACCGGCCAGGGCTGGTATACACATTTTGTTTATCCCTTCATCTGTTGATGGACACCTGCATTGTTTCCACCTCCTGGTTGTTTGGGTTATTGTGAATAATGCTGCTATGAACACGGGTGTACAAGTATCTGTCTGAGTCCCTGCTTCCAATTCTTTTGGTATATATCCGAGAGTGGAATTGCTGGATCACAGTCATAAAAAAGAGAGTGGAATTGCTGGTCACATTAACTCTCTATTTAATTTTTTGAGAACTGCCAAACTGTGTTCCACAGCGGCTGCACCAGTTTACATTCCCATCAGAAACACACAAAGGTTCCAATTTCTCCACATCCTCACCAACACCTGTCATTCTCCATCTTTTCACGTGCTTATTGGTCGTTTGTATATATTCTTTGGAGAAATGTCTATGCACGTCTGTTGTCTATTTTTGAATTGGGTTTTCTGTTGCTGTTGTAGGAGCTCTTTATATATTCTAGGTGTTAATCCCTTATCAGATATGTGACTTGGAAATATGTTCTTCATTTTATGTGGATTGTCTTTTCACTTTTCTGAATAGTATCCTTTGATGTATGAAAGTTTCTAATCTTGATGAAGTCAAACTTCTTATTTTGAAATAATTTTAGATTTACAGAAAGCTCAAAGATAACAGAATTCTTGTACACCCTTCACCCAGCTTCCTCTAATGTTAACAGAAGTTAACTAAGCTGTACACTATATTAGGATTTCACCAGTATTTCCACTACTATCCTCTTTCTGTTCTGTTCCAAGATCAAATCGAGGCTACATATTGCATTTAGTCATTACGGCCCCCTCTGGTCTGTTAAAGTTTCTTGGTCTTTCCTTGTTTTTTTTTTTCTTTCTGTTGTTGTTTTTACGATCTTGACAGTTTTGAACAGTACTGGCTAGGTATTTTGTAGAATGTACCTCAACTTGGGTTTGTCTGATGTGTTCTTGTGATTAGACTTTAAGTGATGAAGATTATGGTGTTTTGGGGAGAAGAATACAGTAGATATGAGCTGCCCTTCTGATCACATAGTACCAGGGTGCACATGATATCGACATGTCTTATCACTGGTGATGCTGACCTTGACCATCTGGTTGTGTGGTAGGATCTGTCAGATTTCTCTGCTGTAAAGTTTCTCTTTTTCCCTTTCTACTCTCTACTCTTTATTTTTTTTTTAACTGATTTTTTACAGAGAAGAAGGGAGGGGGATAGAGAGCCAGAAACATCGATGAGAGAGATCTATCAGCTGCCTCCTGCACGCCCCCTAGTGGGGATGTGCCTGCAACCAAGACACATGCCCTTGACCGGAATTGAACCTGGGACCCCTGAGTCCGCAGGCCAACGCTCTATCCACTGAGCCAAACCGGTTCGGCAACTCTCTACTCTTTAGAAGAGAGTCACAGTCACTAGGACCAGCCCATCCTCAAGAGGAGGGGAATTAAGTTCTACCTCCTAGAGTGAAGAGTGTGTGTGTGTGTGTGTGTGTGTGTGTGTGTGTGTGTGTG